GCAGGGGGGTTAGCAAGGATGGTGGAATGTGATGGACATCATTATCCGATGTACATGTATGAAGACACGAATTTGTGTCAACATACTTTATATACAATCAGAGATATGAACAATTGTGTTCTAAATGTATAATAAGAATTGTAATGCATTCCACTGTCATTTATTTTTTTAAAAATCAATAAAATAAAAAAATCTGTTTTAGTAGCAACTTATATATTAAAATATTTCTTCTTAAAATAGAACTGATATAATAATATAATATATTATTAGCAATAAAGTGCTAAGTTATTTTTAAAATTATCTTTTTAAATCAGTTTATTCTGATAATCATTTTAAGGAATATGACTTTTTTTAAATAAAAGTTTTCTTTTTAAACAAATTTGGGAGATTAAAATAGTTGCTTAGGGAAGATAATTTGGCATTGAGGAACAGGGGCTGCAGCAATGAATCCTGGTACGAGACCATCACTCTATTCCCTTGGAAGTGGTTGGAAAAATGATAGTGTAAAAGCTTTGACATCTTAACCTAAGGGTTTCTTTAAACAACACTATCTCAATCTCCAATTTCCCTATAAAATCACTGGTAGACATAATAATAGAGAATAGGAAACAGAAAAGAAAGGGTACAGATGAACTTGGAAGGGTCCTTAGAACATGATGTGAGTTCCATTTACAACACTGAAATGGATTCTGACAGTAACTAGGTCAAACTTCACAGATTATGGGGACAGTTCTCCACAAATCTACTTTCATTTCAAACATGAGCTGCAATTTCAGGGAACCTCAGGATGCCCTTACTTTTGGTTATAAATTCAGAGTTTTTCGCTACCCACTCAAGTGTAAAAATTTACTAGAATGACCCAAAGAACTCAAGGAAGCACTATACTTAAGATTATAGTTTTATTATAGCAAAAGGATATACCAATGACACCCAAAGGGAAAGATGCAGAGGGCAAGTCTGGGCAGGGTCTCCTACCCAAAGCTTTGTGTATCCTTTCTCTATGGGTCAGGATATGTTAACTTCTGGCACATCAAGATGTTCCATTAAAATGTGTTAAAATACATATTAAATTAATTAAAATGTTTTAAAATACATATTGCTAAGCAGAGAAGCGCACTCAAACTTTGGTGTTCTTAGTGTACTGAAGTCTCATTAAATAGGCTGATTGAATGATTGGCCATATTTGTTTAACTCAATCTCTACCCCTCCTTCTCCTCCAAAGTTGGGCTGATTAATACTTAGTTCAAAGCTACAACCCTTTAACCATATGTTTGGTCTTCCTTTCTATCTGCTACAGCTCCATCCTGAAACATCTCATTAACATAAGCTATCCAAGAACCTGTCTTGAGTCTACCTCATTAGCCTAAACCAGGTCTGGTCCCAGGGACCCCAAGGCAATAACAAAGAAATTCCTATTACTGTGGAAATTTCAAGAGTTTAGAAGATAGCTTCTAGTATCCAGAAACCAAGGCCAGTATAATTCTTCATTATGTAAAAGGGAACCAAACTATGACAGAGTTGCGACGAGAATAAAAGACCATCAAAGTTTGATATACCATTAAATTTTAAATTATTTTTGTAATTATATTTTCATAAATTATTTTGAAGTACAATGCTGTTGGTGTTTAATAAGTAAGACTTCAAGGTGAAGGTATAGCTAAGCATTCATTGCAGTTTCTAGTAACAAAAATGCATTTTAAAAAGCTTTCATATTTTTGAGAGTTTCAAGTGTCCAATATTCATCTAATTATATGGAGTAGCCTGAAATACCAGGACAGCACAAATTATGGAAGGTGTTAGATGATTTTATGGGATAGAGCATGTGACAATTTTTTAAATAAAATATAAAAACTTTTATTTTGATTCAGAATCTGCCTTTTTGTATACATTAATCAGATTTTTTAAAAGTAAATCAAGATTAAAATTCTGACCTATTCTGTGTTAATTGAATTCTTGCACAAGAACCATGCTCCACTGAAAGACACTCAAACATTAATATTTTCCAATCTATGATTAAGGCAGTCATATTATTCACTGAGTTTTGTATTTAAATGACTATAATTAAATATATATGTTTAATATATATAATTATATATACATATATAATTAAATATATGCTACCTAATTTCTTTATTTTAGTAGTATGCTCTACAATACATGGAACTTTCAAGGGTTGACCAAGCA